TCACCCTGACCAGCTGCAGGATTGCACTTGACTCTGGGGAAGGGATGTGCCCTTGTCTCTCAGACAGCAGTTCAGATGGTCCCACTTACCACTTTTCCTTTCTCATTATTTAAAAAAAGCCATGCCCTGCAGTTATCTCTGCTGGGCCTTTACAGTGATGGCAAAGCTGGGGCTTTAGTGTCACACATGAGCAGGAGACAGTCTGGTCTTTGTTTTCTAGGGTTTAGAACAAAACGTCTTTCATCCAGGCCTGTGGAAGGTGCCTGGGAAGCAGTGTGCACGGACGCAGGTCCCCTAGACACTTGTGCATACAAAAGAAGGGAGTGATCTGGGACCAACTTCCCTGTTACATCACCTGGTCTGTCCCAACCTGGTGACTCAATGTGGCTGCACATGCAGAAAGGGGCCCCACCAGGCCACGGCACAGAGCGGCACTGCCAGGCCTCGAGCAGCTGCACCATCCAGTGCCAGAGGTTGACGTTCGAGATCAGGGCGCCGGGCTGGAGTCTGGGGAGGAATCTTCTCTGGCTGCAGACACTTGCTTTGCGCTGTCCCCACACAATGGATAGAGAGGGAGGGCCCCCTCTGAGACCACAGCCCCATCGACCAGGCCCCGGAGGGTCTCGCCAGTGTGACCTTAATTACCTACTAAGGCCCCATCTCCACCACACAGTCTCGCTGGAGTCAGGGCTTCAGCCCAAGTTTGGGGGCACAGTTCCGTCAGGAGCAGTACCCCTGGCTTGTCCAGCTCTGACCCTTCCAGCAGGGTCCATGTCCCCACTCCACACTGACACCCACCTGTCCTGTCCACCTTCTGGGAAGGTGTTCTCTGTCCTTGCGCAGGGGGACTGGACCCAGGAGCACATGGACAGGAAGCCCTGGGGTGACAGGCTGGGTGGGCATCTCACCCTGAGCAAGGGTGGGCATTCGCCCTCCCATTCTCTGACATGCCCATGGTCCCCCTGTGCACAGGAGGAATGAGTCTGCATGCTCAGGAAGGTGCATTTAAAAGAAAATAGATGAAAATGCCTGAGTGTTTATACCGTGGCCTCGGAGTCGGCGGGCACTTCCGGTGTCTAGTCATCAGTTGGAATCTGGGTGCAGTGCAGAGTCCTACCCGGGCAACAAACAGCAGGGAACCTGAGCCCCAGGAACACAGTTTAGCATTCCATGTTTATTTAACGTGCCCCATAGTTTTCGGAAGAGAACAGTTGCATTCGTGATGCACTGGTACTCAGTGGACCCCAGAGTCCCCGGGTTAGAGGTCAGCCCAAACTGCATCTCAGAATTGAATGACTTGGCCGTGCCCCTCAGTACGAGGATGAGATCGCCTCAGCCGTGCAGGACACGGAGAAGCCATGGGAGGGTGGATGGTGAGAGACAGCAGTGGCGTCTACCTGTCTGCTTTGGGAGGATGGTTGTGGACATTCACGGAACACACAGAAATGGTGCCTGGGCACCAGCCCACAGGCCCTGGGAAGGCCAACGCCCCCGCCCATGGGCTCTGGCCACCCAGCTGAGTGGATCTCGGGCCCGGGGTCCTGAGGGCCTCGGTCGGGGTCCTCATCCTGTTACGGGCCCAGCTGGGTCACCGTCTGCCAAATTGTCCTCTGTTCAGCCACTCGCGGCCGCTTGCATGTGACACAGACTCCCCGGGGTCGGCTGTTGGCCCGCGGCCAGGACATCCCAGGCCCTGGAGCTTGGCTGGGTGTGCGCCCACTCGATTCAGGGACGTGCTGGCAAAGTTTCCGTGGGCGTGTTAACGGGGAGCCATCTGACCCCAGTGCCCCGAGACTGCAGACCAGGCTCCTGTCTGCCTCCTGGTCGCTTGTGAGACGCCACCCAGACCAGGGAGCCCAGGCGCCCGGCGGGCACTGGCTGTGGGGATGTGGGAAGGTAGCTGACGCTGCCCCAGCCCCTCCCGACCTAGCAGGGCGAGAGGCTCCAGGGGGTCTCTGCTCCCAGAACAGGAAGCCGTCTGGGCTTGGCCCACCCCCCGCGAGCTGCTCGGGGTAGGTGCCCCTTTGCCAGACCCCGGGTTTCCAGGCAAGGCCAGAAATGTTTTGAAGGCTCTTTGGCTTAGAGAGCTGTTGCAGGGGCTGTGGGCTGGGAGGTTCTTGGGGAGAGGCTGCCCCCCTCTCATGCTGTGCACCTGCAGCCATGCCAGGGCCGTGCAGGGCAGCTGAGGCCTCACAGACCCCACACACTGCCTCCAGGTGGCAGTCCCCACGCCATGTGAAGCCCCTCCCGCGGGAACTCGCTGCCTGGCCTTGACAGCGGCCCCGTCTTGCGCGGTGTTGCTCCCTGTGGCAAACACAGACCATAACCTCATCAGGGATGTGCTTTCTGGGTGCTGTGGTGCGGCCTCCTGTCACTGCACCTCCTGCCCAGACCAGCGTGGTGATGGCAGGGAAGATGGCCGCGTGTGACGTCACACCGAGCGTCAGGCCTGAGGAAACCGCCCTCCACATGGGCACAGCTGTTTTGACGCCGAGAGGCTGGGCGCCCCAGCCCAGGCCATGCAAGCCGCGCCATGCTCTTTCCTCGCTAGGAGGACACGGGAGAGCCTCGTGGTGGCACCGACCCACAGAGGGTGCCCATCTCCTTGGAAGCCCACAGGAGAAGCGCTGTCTGGATGTGGGCACGCGGCCATGTGTGCGGGCCTCTCGGCCGCCAGAGGGGCCCCGGGAGCGGCAGGCGCGGGGTCTCGGTTTTCAGGGTGGCCTTGGTTTCTCCGACTTACTGCAGCTCCTAGGGGCCCAGCTGCTCCCAGCCTCGCTCTTCACCTGCGTTCAGAGTGTGTTTGCTGGCCGCCCACCCTGTGCAGAACCATTAGGGCCTCTCCCTGCTATCACTTCTCAGCCACCTTGTGTCCTGCGTAGCCCCCGGAGCAGACAGGGTGGGGAGCACCGAGTTCACTCCTGGTGGGAGCCGTCAGGATGTCCCGCAAGGGCCTGGAAGACAGGGAAGGAAGCAGGCCACCTCGGCGGTGCGAGGCTGCTGCCCCTGGACACACAGGGAGTGACGCCTGAGCAGAGAGGCCCAGCCGGGACCAGGCCTGGCCCGGCTCCCCCATGTGGCAGGGCAGTGGGCCCGACCCTTGGGAGGCAAGCTGCTCGGGGCCCTCAAGGCATTTTGCCAAGGCCTTGCCAGGAGTGCAGGGGGCCAGGTGGTCACCAGTGGCAGACACAGGCCCAGCAGCTCTCGCGTGCCCTCGGAGGCACCCAGCTCGGCCTCCCTGGGTTGCCGGCTCTGCCAGCCCTGCTCGTGCTGCACCGTCCCTGCGTGCCAGGTAAACCACACTCGCTGGTGTGGCGGCCGGCTGCATTTGGGGTTTGCATCTAAATGCTGCAGAGCGCACGGCCCTGGGGTTTTGGGGAACTCAGGGGACACTTTATGAAGGAGGCACGTCAGCCTTGGGCCTGGCTGGAAGCCCAGTGCATGGAGAGAGAATCCCAGCAGGGTTTTAATTCGACCTGCCTGGCACACACACACTCCTTAAGATCATGAACTCTGAGAATTCCAGAAGTTAGAATTTAACCTCTGCTGTTCTAGATGCCAGCCTTTTACAGTAGTGTTTTTACACCGGGTCACAGCTCTTTCGGCTGTTTGCTGTCACAGCTGCATGCCCACGGTGGTGACGCCTGTCTGCCCTGAGGGTGGGGGCTCTGTGGGGCCACTCCGTCCCATCTGTCACTTCTGGACATAGGCTGAGGTGACTCTGCACGGGTGTCTGGTTGGAGCCCGGCCCGCGGAGCCATCCACACCGGAGGCTCCCAGTGGCAGGGAAGAGTTCTTCCAGCCCACAGTCTGCGCTCGGGGTGGACTCCGGCGTGAAGCTCGCTTGCAGCTCTGCTTTGCATTAAACATGAGGACGTTCATCTTGATCCTGGCAGCCCCAGCGTCCAGCTTCAGCCCGTCTGTGCACGTGGAACTTGAGGCTGGGGAGGCTGCACCACAGGAGCGTGGACCCAGCAGCGGCCTCTCAGGGGGGCTGCCAGTCTGGGTAGGGGGCTCGCCGGCAGGAACGCCGTTCTGACTCTATGCCAGCCACGTGAAGAGGTGTGGGTGTGACCAGGAGGGTCTGGCAAGCACTTAGGGCCGTGCTGGCCCCTCCAAAGCAGCGTGGGGCCCCTGCTGCTCTCAGCAGTCGCTCTCAGGCACCCCGACCTTCACGATGTCTCTGCAGTGGGCGTAAGAGGCATGGAGGCAGTGAGAAAGTGGGGCCCAGGAAGCGAACAGCAGCCGCTGGGGGTGCTGGGCCGCGGCCCAGAGAGACCCCCAGGTCCCCTCCGTGCTTTCTCCTGGAGCCTCTCTGCAGAGGCTGCGGCTCTGGCACCTGGTCTGGCCCGGGGCCTGGCGGAGGGTCAGAAGGGACCCCCGGCCCTGTCTGCACTCCACTTCCCAGCTGCTCTGTGCATATCAGCTCTTCAGAGCGGTGGACTGGGGGTGGCCTGGAGGTGGGCGGGCGCTGCCTTTGTTCCCATGCGGTGCCTCCGCGGGGAGCCAGGCCTTCCTGCTGCAGGAGAGTGTGCCTTCTCCTGATGGCTACGGGCTCTCTGCAGCGCAGACGGTCCCACGCCTCCCTACTGGCATCCGGCTGCGTGTGTGCTCACCAAGCACGTGGACATGCATCCGTTAGGGCGTCAGTAGCAGGACAAAAGTGGTAGCACATCCACAGTGAAGTTCTTGCTTTGATTCCTACACACCCAGGGCCCTGGTCCAGAGCTCCACTGCAGTGCGCAGATGCATGTTTATAGCCCGTCGGAGCTGGGGCGCAGGCCAACGAAAACAGCGCTCAGCACCGGAACCAGCCGCAGCTTTCTGGGGCCCGTGACTCACACCCTTCCCTTAACTGGGTGGGAGAACCAGGTGGGAGGCTCCCAGGGACTCAGTCTGAAAAGACGCTGTTTGTTTTCAGAGGGCGTCCTAGCCACAGGCTGTCCTCCGTCGCGCCCATGGGCAGCTTGTGTTTATCTCACTTCGTTTCCTCCTCGCAGTTCCAATCATAAAGACGGAGCCCACAGATGAGTTTGAACCTGCCCTGACCTGTGGACCGGCCAGCCAGGGCCTCAGCCCACTCGTGAAGCCACGCTACAGCCAGCAGCTGGCCGTGCCACCTGCCCCGGGCTCCTGCCTGGTGGCCGGCTTCCCACCCTGTCCACAGAGAAGCACCGTGATGTCCCCACTGCCCTGTGCCAGCCCGGAGCTCCACGACCTCTCCTCTGCTGCCTACAGCAAGGACCTGGCCAGCCCAGGCTGTGGCCACCTCGGACTTCAGCGGCCAACCGGAGGGATCCTCACAGCTCAGGAGGCGCCGAGACCTGTGGGCGTGCACCCTGGCTCCCCCCAGCAGCCGCCCCCTGCCCTTCTGCAGCCACAGGTGAGTCCCCAGCCGAGCAGCAGTGTGGGCCGCCGGCCGGCGCTCTCTCCCGACAGCCCCCCTCCAACACCACCTGGTGCCCAGGAGCTGACCTGCTTGCAGTCTTGCAGCCCGGCCCGTCCGTCCGTGCTGGGCCGCCCGCAGCAGCAAGTGCCGGAGGTCTCAAGGAGCGAGTCTGCAGCTGCCCGGCCACTGCCGCTGCCCGAGGTGCGTGAGGACAGTACTCATAGCCTGGCCCCCATGCCCGTAATGGTCAAGCGAGAGCCTCAAGACTTGGACCAGCTGTACCTGGACGACGGTAAGTGCCCGCACCTCGTCTGTGCTCACCTGGCCCGTGTGCACGAGTGTGTTGAGGAGGGGGTGCCCTGTTGTGCACATCCGTGCGGGAGGCCCTTCCTGCTGCTGCGGGTGGGCGGCATCCGCCACCAGCCAGCTGCAGGCCGCATAGCGTCGTCCCATCCCTTCAGCCGGATGCCGACGGCCGCAGACCTCAGGGAACACTGCGGGCAGTTCCCGCTGAACCTTGGGATGCCTCCGTTTGCTGGGCAGCAGCAGCTGGTACCTTGGTAGGCCCCACTGGTGGGCCGCCCCAAGTGGGACTTGGGGCCACACTTTCTGTTTCTTAGCGTCAAAGAGCTTCTGTATTTGAGCAGTTTTGAGATGACAGCTTGTATGAGTGGCTGTGTAAAAATAGGTCAGCATCAAGGCGTGGTCAGGAGCCCGGTGCGAGGACCACAGGAACAGGTGGCCCCACGCGGGGGCTGGAATCCCAGCATGCGGGCTCTCAGCAGAAACGCTGCCGAATGGGGATGCCGGGGCTGTTTGGCCCAAGGAAAGGCCATGGAGACATCCCGTCTCTCTGCGGCGTGCAGTGTGTCCGTGCGGGTAGCTCCTGTGGACAGAGGTTCTCTTCCTCCCACTGAGAGGGGTCAGGGTATGTGTGCCCACCGGACGCCTCTGCCCAGGAGTTGGCTGCGGAATGCAAAGGGCGTCATCTGGTGGAGGCCCCACCCCCCACAGGAGAGCAGGTCGAGGGCCTGCCGCTCTGTCTGGGAGGCTGAAGGGCACCAAGTCCACAGGCGCTTAGAATTTCAGCCCAGGCCTAGCTCCCCTACAGTCGTGCGGTGGCGGAAGCACAGCCCAGATGCCACCAGCTCCTGGGAGGGCCTGGGGCGTGGTTCCCTAGAGCCAAGAACCCACTCTGGGAGGGGTGATGGTAACTGCGGCCAGCCCCGCAGTCAGCCCTGAGTTGGGCCTTCCCAGTTCTGAGGGAACTCCGTGCAGGCGCCAACGGGAGCCCCGTGGGTGGGGGCGGTGCAAGGGGTCCCAGGTGTCACTTGGAGGGCGGGGCCACAACGCCCAGCGCATCTGTAAAGGTGGGACCGCGGGAGCCAGTGCCAGCCTCCAGCCCCTGCCAGCCTCCATTTCACATGCTATGTGGTTGAGGTTTTTGAAAATTAACTTGTCAGACGAGGATGTCAAAACCGCTCATTCTGTGTGGAGGAAGGTTCTGGAGACTGTGTGTCGCTTGGTGAGCGGGGAATGCGGTCTGGCCCGGAGGGCACGCGGCAGCAGGCGTTGGGGGAGGGCTCCAGGCCCAGGGGGTCCCCGTAGCTGGGCAGCCCCTGACTGTCAGGCTCGTGGCCTCGGTTTTGGTCTCTCAGCCCGGTTGTTCCCCAGCTTTTGTGTGTATTTTGTTTACCATCATTACGTCTTAGGAGGTGGGGAGCACCTGGGAAGCCTGGCCAGGTGCAGGTCGCCCGCCTAGGCAGCAGGCAGCCGCGTGTGTGGGGAGGGCCTGGCTGGGACGTGGGGACTCACAGGTGCCTTTCCTGTAGGCCAGCTTCGGAGTTGGCAGCCTTTCCCAGGGAGGTGCATGGGAGAAAAGATGGAAACGACAGATGAAGTCAGAAATTAGATGCCATTAGTTTCCAGTGACCTTGACACGAACACACACACACTTTGTCAGTCTGCACAATGGGGAGAAGGGCGGGGGTCACACCCTGGGCTCCCCTGGTCTGGGGATCTGGATGCTGGACTGCAGGGCGCTCCGTGGAAGCTGTGGGCGGCAAGGCTTTGTGGGGTGTGGGCGGCCCTGGTCCTGGAGGCACGCTGGAGGCTGTGCCCAGGCTCTGACCTGCTTCCGCTCCTGGAAGGTCTCTGTGTGTGCATGTGCAGCCACCAGGCTGGGAGGGACCCTGCGTGGAACACACCAGCCTTCCAGGGACTGAGCGGCGAGCTCCCTGCTCAGTGGCTCAGGACACAGGGGTGGGCATGTGCCAGAGACCCCGTCCGCACGGTGATAAACTAGAGCACAAAGCACAGTGCAGTGGCTTCCCACCCAGGCGCCCCCGCCATCCATCTGTGCGGTGGCAGCAGGGCATGGGGCCCCGTGCTGCTGTTGGTCAGGGTTTTGTTTGCGTGCTTCCTCCAAACGACCAGAGGTCATCACGGGGTGACGTGGGTGCCCCAGACTTGTTCGTAATCTGAGGATGCCGGGCCATGAGGACTTAGAATTTATTTCATATGTGTACTGGTGTTTTCTTTGGGTTCTTTGTTTTCCAGGAATATATATAGAAAAACCCATTGGTAGGATCCGTCCAATTCTGAGGGCCCAGGGCCTGTGGGGACACACGTGGCGAGGCTGCAGCAGGTAGAGGCGGCCGCGGGTGGCTCACGCCTGAGCCTCCTGCCTGACCCACCTCGGGCCGCGCGTGGCTGGAGGCAGGCTCAGCATGCTGCACGTTTCTGTTGTCCCCGGCGATTTCAGCCCGAGAGGACTTGCCTCGAATGCATCCCGACTCTTTTAAAGGATTTCCTTGTTTTTCAGTTCCTGCTCTTAGGTTTCATTTCAAAAGTACTCATCCCATAAATAAATTCAATTATAATTTACTCTTTGGTTCAACAACACTCGTAAGATTTAAGCTCTCAATTTAGACTTCTCAGTCAGGCAGCACCACAAGGGCACACGTTTAAAAGATTGCTTGTATGGGTCTTGTGTTATTTTAAGTGTGGATGTAAAAAACATGCCATGGAAGCGGCGTGTGAGCCATTTCTCCGGTAGGATTTCTACAAACTGCCTGCAGTGAGCTGCGGGCTGCATTCTCCTCCCGGCGACCGGCCACCCTTTGATTCACTTCCACGTAAATGTGGGCAGGTGATGTGTCGTGTGATGCGCTCCGTCCATATGTGTTTGCCGGGAAGCCATTCTGAACATTTCTGGAGGGCTTAGCCCCGCATCTGTGCGGAGGCACCGTCCTGGCGGAGCGACTTGCTGAAATGGAGCACCACCGCCTTTGAGCTCCGAAGCCGCACTCCCCCTGTGCAGGCTTGTCTGCCACTGTGGCCCCCCAGCCGTTGTCACCTGGATGGCCCTGTGGCCTCCACAACAATCAGCCCCTTCAGACCCCTCCCGGAGCCTCGGTTCCCAGAAGCCCAGATGTAATTAAAACAACAAGCAGGTGGACCGGCGGCCAGCACCGTGTCTGTCCCGAGTCTGGGCTGTGAGCTGCTCCCCTCTACCTCCCCTTTCCTGAGCTTAAGCTACTCTGGGAGAGAACAGAAAGCTTTCCTCATGGAAAGTTTTACTAACCTGGCACAGTGCCCGGGTCTGAGGCCTTCCCCATTCCTAATGATGATTGAAGGAGTCTGTATTTTGGCGATCAAACACACCAGGTTGTTAATATTGTGAACGTAGGCTATATGTGATGGATACAAGAATGAATTCAGTCATGCAAGTAATTCATTAGGGTCAGTCCTTAATGCACTTGGACGTCTGTGTGGGAGTCTCAAGGCATAAAAATCACACCACACACCACCCAGAGACACGGACTGCTGTCAGCCCGGTAGACCAGCAGGCTTTGTAAAGAGGTTCCCTGGAGACTCTAGGGGGGGATCTCCCGACACAGAGGTGAGTTTATCCAGTTCCAAGCCAGAAGCAACTGCCCTGGGGAACAGGGCCTCTAATCACTCACTTCCTAAGTGCTGAGTGCTTTTCTAAACCCGTGTGTGCATGCAAGCGGGACGTCAGGGTCTGCACACACAGACATGGGCCAAGCTCCCTGGGGTGCTGTCCCGGTCAGAGATGCGCAGATAAACCTGAGTGTCAGCCAGGAGCCGCTGAAGCCTGTTGTCTCTGGGGCCCCGGTGTAGGCGGTGACAGAGCGCCGTGTTTCTGCTGCGTCTCCCATGGGAACCTGTTGCTGTGGACTCCAGGGCAGCCGCAGTTAGGAGCCTGCCCCTTCATAAGGAGTGGACGGCAGGGTGACTCGGAGGTGCCCGCTGAGTAAGGCCCCCTCTAAATAGGATGTGGACACACGCACCACTGCCAGGCTTGGCTCTGGGACTTTCTGGGTTGGGACATTAGAGTATCTTCTTCTCTCCTGCAGGGAGGGGGTTGCTCGGCTCACATGACGCTGGGGCTTCGGTGCGACTGAGCTTCTGGGCACGATGCTCAGTTGCCTGGTGTTTGAGTCGCAGCATATTTCTAATTGAAGTTCATTCTACAGCCCAGTCGTTCCTGTGCTTGTGGGGAGCTCAGTGGTGTCGTTTCTCACTGAAGTAAACCTGCCCCGCACCCCCATCATGGGTCCCATTTCCTTTTTTAAATGGAGAGTTGTTTGAAACTACTAATCTGAGGGAAAGAAATATGGGCAGGGCACAAAGAAAGGTTTCCTGGAGCTCAGCCGTTCACACTGAAGGTCTGCTTAGTGCCCCAAACGCTCACGACCAGCAGAAGCGGAGGGACCGGGAGCGGAGGCTCGGACGTGTGATACCCAATCTTCCTCACAGGCGATCTCCAAACGGTAGTAAAGCGCCAGAGTGTGAGCGCCTTGTGGTCGCGATGCTGGCTTCTCCTTGTGCGGAGCGAACTGTTTTCCTCCCGCAAAGGGGCGAACAGCTCTCCAGAAGTGGTGTGAGTGGCTTCTGCCTCCGTTTCAGAGAGAGTCGTGCAGCGCTGAGCTGGGCCCTGCGCCTTCCCTTCCCTGAGGCGCGTGGGAGCTCTCTTACTCGGGCAGTAGCACGCTTTACAGACGCTTTCAGGTCTGTGGGGAGCGGATGGGGCACCACTGTGCTGCGTCACCAGAGCAGGAGGCCGTAAAGCGAGGTGTGTCAGAGCACAATAGCTGCATTCAAAAGCCTGGCTGGTGATAGACCGTCAGGGCTCGGTGTCCTTCGGGGACGGTGGTGGCCAGGGCAGTGGCGGCTCTGTCTGCATCTGCTGAACAACTGTGTTTTCCCAGGAGCAGCCAGGGCTTGCAACTCGAGCCAGGCTCTTGGTTCCCCTGCCCCTGGGGC